GGAGGTGAATAGGTCCCTAACATGCTTCTTTGTCAAAAGAGCAGGCTGGTGTTTGTATGACTGCCGGCTCGTTACAGCCCCCGTCATTAAGTCCGCATGTGTCAATCCTGCCCTGGCGTACACGGCAGCGCAGACAAGAAAGGAGCCCCCTCCCCAGAAAACAGGGGAGTGGGTTGGGAGTCATGATCAAGCTAAATGGTGAGCGGGAGTCCAAGCCTTGTGTAGGTAAATTCGGAGGGGACTCTCAGGAGACCTGCAAGTGGGGACCAGGAATGCATTTTACCAGCCACTTAATTGTGTCCTGTTTCCTGACAAGTGTGCTGCTTGAATTGCCTGTTTTGTTTATGATGCAGAAAACACAGGCTGCGGGCAAGGGCATGCTCTGGCTCCCAGGTTGAGTAAGGTGTTTGATCAGCATGGCTGGTGGACACACTGGGTCTGGGGGTACAAAGTGCAGCCCTTTGTACCTGAGCCCTCAGACTTCACTGGATGGGCCAAGGGCTCGCGTTGATTTCTAGAGAGATGAAGGAAAGTTAAAATAAGTTCAAATGCATGGCGGACAGATGATGCCTTACCGTTCTCCTCTCCCACTGTCAATCTTAAGTCCATGCAGCAGAGGAGACTAGAAGCCTCCAGGGTTAGAAGCTGGGGGACAGACCATGACAAAGAATCATAGCGTTCTAGATTCAGAGCTGAAAGGGCCCTTAGTGGCCGTCAAGAAAGTGTACCTGTCGAAATCTGAGGCAGAAAACAGAAAAGCATGGGGCAGGTTCCCCTTTGTCCCCTGGCCCTAGATTACTAGGAGAACATTTAGTGGGTTTTTCCAGTCATGCCTGAGAGAGAACATTTTGGAAGAATTAGGTTGAATCCCTGACTCTGCCACTTACTACCCAGACTTGGCTTCAGGCAAGTCCCGTAACTTCTCCCGGTCTCAGTTTCCTTGTCTGTAACATGAGGGCGTTGCACTGGATGGCCACTAAGGCTTATTTCCTCCAAGGTGGTCACCATATGGCTGCCTTCTGGGCCCAGCCCAGTAAAGGACGTGTTCCTGATTGTATAGTCACATAAAATATCTGAACATTTGCACGTTTCTGGCCCGTAGTGTCTGTGGTTCCAATCTTCCTTGGCCAGGTGAGATGCAAGGAGTGATTCTCTGTAATGGCACCCAGGCATTTACTCTGTGGTTGATTAATAAAGGGGAGGGGGCTTTCCCCTTAACTTTTGGTTAAGATGAATTGGGTGGGACAGAGTTGTTAATATGTGAAAATCTTAATCCTAAGAAGACTAAATTTCACTGTGATAGCAGTAGCCAATTCCCTTTGTCAGACACCACTTCCCAGGAAGGTAACGTGTTTTATCTGCTTGCCCAGGAGGGGGAGGGCTTTCGAGCGAGCCCTGCTGCTCCTCAGCTGGGAGTGGACTCAAAGCTTCACACGGTCGCCCACTGCAGTTTTACACGGATCCATGTTGGCGTTAGTCATCCGCTGGCCGTTTTGTGAAACGTGACTCTGTTCTTCGTGTGACTGTTGAACAGTAGGCAGAGTTCTTTGATTCCTGGAGAGTGAAGGAAATTGGGCTTAATGTCTGGAGTTTTTAATGCCCCAAAAACATAGCCACGTACCATATGAATGTTTGTGCCTAATAACAGTGCACTGCTATTATTAACCACATAGTGAAGATTAAGTGCCTTCTGTGTGCTGGGTGCTAGGGATATAAATACTCAAGTGAGGCAGTTCCTGCCCCCAAGAAGCATCTACTAGGGAGGCACGCATGTTTACAAATGAATAACTATAGGAGAGGGATAAGGGCTAGACTTGGCGTCTCATTGGTATAGGGAATTCCCAGGTGAGGAAACTCCTTCTGCCAATGCAGGTTGGCACCCTCTCTACAACATGTAGTCTTAGCTGCCTATAGCAACGAGAAGGGTCACACAGCCAGGATGTATCAGAGGGTCTTCCTTGCTTTGAGCCCAGCTCTCCTGCCCCTACACCAAGCTACCTGGGCCTTTGGGTGCAGCATCTACATAAAGTAAACACAGAGTGATCTTCACAGAATGGGTGCTGACAACGTGAGGAATCAGGAGAGGGCCCGGAGCAGCCCTCAGAAGGGGTTCCAAGAGAAGAGGGCGTGCCCAGCAGAGGGCACCACCTGAGTGAAAACACCAGTGCACGCTACGGGATAGGGACCAAGTTGGGCTTACCTCCTCCAGGCTATTTGGTTGGAGTGGAGAACGAGGGAAGGGAAGTCATGTGATATCTGTCTGGCAGGATAGACTGGGGCTATATTGGAAAGGATTGCCCAATGCGGGACAAAGTGTAGTTATCCTAGAGGCAAGAGGGAGCGCCTGAATCTTCTTGAATAATGGAGTGACAGTCAGACAGTCATTCAAGTACTTTAGGAAAATAGTAACAACTAGCTTTCATATAGTACTTTAAGGTTTGTGAAATACCTTACAGATATCTCATTTTTACCTCACAACTATGGGAAACAGGTGCCATTTTTGTCTCCATCTTATGGATGGGGAACTGAGGCAGATAGAGGTAAAATGACTTGTTCAAGGTCTCACATCTAGTGTCTGAGGTATGATTTGAAATTGGGTCTTCCGGACTCCAGCTCCAACACTAACAGTTGCACCGCTCAGGCTCGCTGCCTGTCACTTTGATGACAACGTGGAGTATAAAGTGGAATAGGAAGAGACTTCAGCTGAAAGGCTGTTGCGTTAGTCCAGGCGAGAGGCGATGAGGGCCTGAACTAGAGTGGTCACAGTGTGAGCAGGGCATGGTGGTGGGAGAGATGTTGAGGGAGGTAGAACAGACTGGCATCTGGCAACTGACTGGATTTGGTGAAGAGGGCATAGTAAGTGTGAATGAAGAATCAAGCCTGAGTGACCAGAAGGATAGGGGTGCCCTTGACAGAAGTAGGGGTGGTTGGAGGAGGGCTGGGTGGTAGAGTGGATAATGAATTCTGTTTTGGACATGTTGGGTTTGAGATAGCTGTGGGACATTTGAGTTGGGGTTGTCCCGCGGATTGTTGGAGATATGGAGTGCAGGAGAGAGATCAGTGCTGACTATGTAGATTCAGGAGTCACCGGCACAGAGGTAGTGGTCAAATCCATGAAAGATGAAAAGATCACTAAGAGAGTATAGCGTGAGGAAGGAAGGCCCACGACAGAGTGCTTGGGCATACTCAGGGTAGAAGAATCGTCACAATGATTCTTCAAAGAGCCTGAGAAGGATCAGTCCAGCAGGGAAGAGGGGAACCACAAAAGCAACAGGGCAGTGTCACGAGAACACAGGGAAGAGAAGACATTCAGAGGAAGAGTGGCCGACAGCCAGAGAGGTCCGGAAGGATGAAGCCTGAGAAGGACAGTGCCCACCATGATGTGATGGTGACTTCTCAAATGATTGCAGCTCTCAGACTCACCCAATCCATATCTGAACAAGAATCCCCGCTACGATAGACCGCGGACGCGAGCGTCCGGTCTTTGGCCCCATCTTCTGCCTCGTCCCTTTGGCCTGACCCAAGAATCTTGTTTTGAGGAGTCTTAAAATATTCCATCTGGTTGGAGCCTTTAACCTAGCTGGCATCTTTGCCGTTGGTTTTCAGACTTATGGAATCAGCCTCTGGGCTATGTCTGTGGGCGACTGCCTTGTGACATTTCTGTTGGTGTATCTGACAGCTGACAAGCTCTTCTTAACTTGTGCACGGACCGCGCTCCTGCTGTTTGCGCAACATACCGTTCCGCTGTCCGTTGCTTAGCCAAGTCAGAACCCTCCCCTTTTGTCCAGTCTCAAGACAAAGCAGTTGGGCTGAGTGAGGTTTCTGAGCAAGGTTCTTTCCCTTCCACTCTAAATCTTTCCCCATCATTTCAGCCGCTACCATGTACTTTCTGGTTATAGACATGGTTTTTGTTTTTTGTTTGGTTGGGTTTGGGGGGACTTTTTGATTTGGTTTTGGCTTTGTGGTTTTTTTGTGGGGTTTTTTGGGGGGGTCTGGGAGTTTAGCAGCTTCCAAGCATTTTAAGGGAATTGTAGAAAATGCTGCTGATTATCTTAGTAGGGAAAGGATCTGAATTGGTTAGCTCAGCACTCTCTTTGCCATAATCTCCGTGTAATAAATAAGAGCATATGAAAGGATTAAATAAATCTTTCTTAATACTTTTTGATTGGCTTAATCAATAATTAATCATCTTTAGATGAGGCTGTAACTTGTGGAGTAGATATAATTGGATTAGCCATGGAGAGGCCACTGGGGAGCTTTGAAGAGATTAAAATGGCTGTCAATCCCATAATTAAAGTGCCACAAATAAAGGCAATCTTGTTTAAAAAAAAAAAAGAGGAGGAGGAGGGTGAAAAGACCCAGTGAAGGGGGGGGGGTGGGGGGGGGCGGCTGCTGATTCAACATCGAGCAGCAGGTACTTCAGTACCATAAGAGGCTGGACAGAGGGAAGTGCTGCTGTATTTCCCTAAATGAATGAATGTTTCTGTTGGCCCCACTTAATGGCGTGCCTGGTTCATGGGGGACAGGTGAAACTTTAACAGCTCCCCCCAGCTTCTCCCCTACCCCAGAACAAAACAGAGCCACAAAAGGGAAAATGGAGATGGCTTTTTACTTAAAATGGAAGAGACCTGCCCCTTGTCCAGAGCCCATTTAGGCCCTGACTTTTCATGCCTTTTAATTGGCTTAGTAGGTTTGGCCTCTGTGAATGAAGCCTTTTATCTCCCTCCCCTTTCCCCCCCCTTCTTGCACCCCTTTCATCTTTCTTGTTGCAAACACACAGAGAGAGCTTCAGGAAAACACTTTGGTTTTAAAGACTTTTTTTTTTTTAAGGATTGTGGATTTGGGGGGGGATGGGCAGCTCTGTGTGTGTGTGTGTGTGTGTGTGTGTGTGTGTGTGTGTGTGTGCGCGCGCGCGCACATGCGCGTGTGCCCACGCGAAGGCAAGCAGGAGATGCTGGTGAATACTTTTTCCCCCTCTTTCTTTTCTTTCCTTTTACCAGAGAGGAGGTGATTAAACCAATGGGTGTGAGGCCAGATGGGACAATGGCTCCTTTGGAGGAAACTCTTTGCCAGTACCACGTCACCGAGGAGAACAGCTCTGACTCCGACTGAAAGAATCACCTGCTCCACTCTCAATATCGCTTTCATCAGCATCTTTCTCTGTAGCCCCAGGGGGAATCTTTTCTCTCCAACATCTAGGCCCTTGCTTTGGCTGGAAGCACATTAACTGGTTTACTTCTTCAACGTCCAGGATACTGAAAGGGGTGATTCTGTGGAATTTGCAATATTGAAACTGAGGCATTGGTACAGAATATCAATGGGGTGCAGTTTACCCAAGGGCTGGGGGGTAGGGTGGGGGGAGGTGGGGTTGATGTGTAGGGACAAAAAAGTGGTTGCATTTCACCGGGATGGGACTGACGGGCCACCTCAGAGCACTGGATCTGCCAGGGCCCCTAGTCAGAAAGGATGGCGGCGTCCATCCGCTCAGTTGGACTAGTGCCCCCTTCCACGCTCCTCCGAAAGATGGCACCGTGTTCTGTGTGTTAGATCATGGCTGATGAGGTAAAGCCAGAGCGACTGCTTCATGACCCCGGTACCATCTCACCACTTATCACGTCTCAATTATATTGAAATCTATCATATGAATATATATGTATACACACACATGCACGCGATTGCACAGAGGCTGCCCCCAGCCTGCATTCTTCTCTGAGCCCATTGTCTGCAACTCAGAATGCAATTTCCCATAGACAGGTCATTATGCATGGTGGTTAGGTTCCTAGATCAGCCTAAAAAAAAAAACCAACCCTATTTAATCCCCCAACTCTATTTAACCTACAGCGTCCCTGATGTGTTGTACATAATAATAGAATAGTTTCTAGCTGATACTGCCCCCTATGGGGAACGTGCATTCTGAGTTCCGAATCAGACGGCCTACGATACTGATCTATCACCCCAGCGGTGGCTGCAGGGCTAGGGTCTCTGGCAATGACAGCCACTTGGGGGTGGGGAGTGTAGGGGAGACCAACTTTGGTGGCTGAGAAAGCCAAGGGCTTCGGCCTAAGGGGTGTCTTTGTCAGTTGGGGGCTGCCTCTCTGTGTGTCTCTGTGTCTCTAGAGATCTGTTCATTACCGTACATAATCAGGTTGTTAATGGTAACTTTATATATTTAAAAAGCAAAAAGTAAGACCGCACAATTGTTGGTTACTGTTCATTTTTATTTTTCGAGTGTGTCAGGATTTTAGGACCGAAGGGTAGAAAAAGGAATCATGTCATAGAAAGAGGGACCTGCTAGATCAAGTCAAAAGGAGTTTGGTTTCCTTTTTATACATATATAGATAATGTGCTTAACCACTGCCTTTTAAAACTTTAAATTAAATAAAACATTGGGGTTGATTCAGCTTGGCCACTGGTGTGTTTCTTTATGGATAGGTCTAGTAGATGCTAGTGACGCACAGCCCCAGGTTCTTAAGTTTGAAAGGGGCTTCAGGGGTCATGGAGTACAATCCCCTGTCCGCATGAATCCCATCTATAGCATGCTGACCGAGGATCTTGTAGTCCCAGCTGGAACCCCTCTAATGAAAAAGACTTCCCACTTTATAGGGTAATGTGCTCTGTTCTCAGAATGTGGTCATTCTTAGGAAGTGAAGTCAGGAGTTAGTTGGGTTGTGGGGAGGCGTTAACATGACCCCAACTTGTATCTTACCCTTTTTCTGTAGAGCCGCCACAAGCACAGCCACTCTGACCCTACAGTGGCCCCCCATTTTTCCCCTTTGATGAACAGCCTCCCCTTCCTATGCCTGGTACTGGCCTCTAGGGCACTCACAACTTAAATTAGCTACTGCCCAGAGCAGTTGTGCAGATACCAGTGGGCAAATTCTGCTACCAGCCCATCCCTAAATCACATCAAACAGCAACAGACACCTTTCCAGAGTGAGCTCTGCATCTGGGTGCAGCAGCCAGTGAGTGCGAGCCTCACCTTTCCTTTTCATTGTGGGTGGGACAGAATGCATGGGTCATGGTCTGGACTTCAGGCCTCCTTACATTATCTGTTCCTCCCAAACCACCCCTCTTCCAGATTCCCCTGTTTACAACCCAGGGCTTCTAGCCACCAGCCTCCTCCTGGTCACCCATATTCACAACCTCAGTGTCCCCTTTAGATCTTTACCCTTCCCCACCTCACATATCCAGTGGGTTGCCAGAATTAGTCATTTTTACCTTCATTATTACTTCTGAGTTCAGGCCCTGATCACCCATCTCCTGGACTATTACAGTGGTCTTCTAACTCACGTGCCAGCTTCTAATTCCTCTCCATTCTAAGCACCAAAGCGATTTCCCTAAAATGCAAAGTCATTTCCCCATGACTATGTTATTCCCATCCTTAATAAACTCCAAGGTCTCTACTGTTCCTAGGATTAAATACTTCATCTCATCTTTTTTTAATTTCAATTTTTGTGCAATTTTTATAATTACACAATTATTAGTACAGTAGTAACAGATATAATTTACCAATGGGCACATGTGTACATATCGGTGAGTGCATCCTCAAAAATATTTTACTGTAAAATTAAATGATCAAAAATGTTTAGAGACCATAGGCTTATACCAAAGTGAAACTGACCTCCGTCCTGCTCTACCTGTGGGTTCCAGTTCTGATGCGGTATCAACCTAATCCTAGTCTACCGCTTCAAATATTTAAAGAAAGCCATTGTGTCCCTGCTGAGTATTCTCTTTTTCAGGTTAAATCTCAGTTCCTTTACCCATTCCTCATATGGCATGCTGTCAAGACCCATCACCAGCACAGTGACTCTCCTCTGTGGGAGCGCTAATCTGTAAACATCCTTGTGAGCCCACAGGACTCCGCACAGGTGTGGTCTGACCTGGGCGAGGTAGAATGGAGCTGTTCCTTTGTTCTGAAGGCTGCCATTTTCTATAAATGCAGCCCTCTTCCTATTTGGGGGGAGAAGAGGGTAGGGCAGGAAGCGGCCCTATGATTCACTCCTATTGAGTTAGCAGCTAAAATCTTGAATTCTACCCGCATCTCCATCCACATCTAGACTTGTGCAGTTAATTTTTTTTAAACATGTAACATCCCTAATAAAATAAACCTTTAACTACCTAGTAGGCAGTATATTAGGTGCTAGAGATACAGACACAAAAGTGAAATGGTTCCTGCCCCCAAGGATCTTAGGGGCATAAGACACATTAAGACATTAGTAAATACAAGATGGATGCAAAATAGATTAAAAAGTGATGAGGGGATGGGGTGGGTGGGGCTCGTGAAGGGGAATCAGGAAAGGTCTGTGGGAGCAGGCAGTACTTGAACTAAGGTCTGAATGGAGTCAAGAGTTTCAAGAGGCAGAGAGAAAGCAGGATGCTATTTATTTATCCCTACAAAATTTCAGCTGGTTAGCTCCTGCCCACTGAGATACCTTTCTAGATTCTAACTGCCATCTGGTGCCCTGACTGTCCCTCCCAGTTACATGTCATCTTTCAATTTGATGAATAAAAAGTCTGTGCCTGCATCCAAGTTATAGATGAAAGAGTTGAACCTGATGGAGCCGAGGACTCAGAGCCTCTGTGTTGCAACAGGTCTCTGGGTAAGAGGACGAGCTGTTAAAACTGGAACGACCTCTGAGAATGTAAGATGCGGAGGGGAAGGGAAGGGCTATTTTTGTTCTATTCCCAGCACTTGGGATGGTGCCTATCATACTGTTTCAGTCACAGCTGACTAATCATGGCCTCATTTGGGTTTTTCTTGGCAAAGATACTAGAGTGGTCTGTCATTTCCTTTTGTAGCTCATTTTACAGATGAAGAAACTGAGGCAAATAGGGTTAAGTGACCCACCCAGGGTCACACAGCTAGTAAGTATCTGAGGTGAGGTTTGAACTCAGGTCTTCCTGACTCCAATCCCGATGCTCTGTGGCCCTGAGATGCCCATATAGTTAGTGCTTAATATGGAAAGTCCGTGCTGATGTGGGTAACATGGACATGTTTTGCATGACTGCACATTATAATGGGTATCATATGTCTTGCCTTCTCAATAGGCAGGGAGAAGCTGGAGGGAGGGAGAGAATTTGGAACTGGAAATTTTTTTGAATGAATGTTTTAAAAAAAGGGAAGTCCGTGCCAGGTCAGACCAGCAGTCCAGCCAGCCTAGGAGGATTTTCCATTGCTTTTGATTTCTCTTCCTGTGCCAAGAAAAAGTAGAGTTTGGTAGTGCCAAAACCAGCCTCGTGAAAGGAAGAAAATGTGTTTATTGGATCTGGAATAGACCATAAATAATCTGATGTGCACTTTTCTCCACAGCCACTGAAAGTACATCAATCCACCACCATTTACCCTTCAATAAATACTGAGTAAGCAAGCAATTTGGCTTGCTTGGGCTGGGTGCTTGACACAGGAAGAGAAGAAACCATTCCTGCCCTTACTTAAGGGACTTTCAACTTAGGTTAATGAGACAATGCCTGGACAGTTACAATACCACCGGGAGAGGATAAGTCATTTCCATTAAAGGCAATGGGGATGGGGTGGGGGGCAGTGGGTGAAGTGTTAGAACTGGATTCAGGAGAAGCTTGGGTTTGAATCTCGTTTCAGGCATCCTTCTAGTTGTGAGAGAAACGAGACAAGGCATGGGAAAAGGGTAAATCTTAAATTCTAAATAAGTCAGCAATTGCTATTTTCTTGTTTTTGTCTATTTTTAAATAAGGTTCAGATAGATCCAGGACCCATCTATCCTGTTATTTTCTCTTTATATTTAAGCTGCTTAGGTAGCAGAAATGATGACTTTTTGTAGTTGAGTAAAAGTTTCAGGATGTAAACATACCTGGAGATTCAGTGAAAGCCTTAGGACAACTCCCCATAGCCTGAAGGTGATCGGGTGTTTTCTTAATATTAGATGTGCATCTAAAGAAAATCACTATAGAAGCAGCTAATGAGGAAGAAGATAATGGTGGTGGTGGTGCTAACAATGATGGCAGAAGTATAATACTGTCAAGTCCTGTTGGTTTTGCTTCCGTAACATTTCTCAAATATGTCCCTTCTTCCTTCTCACCCCCTGGTCCAGGCCCTCATCATCTCACACCTGAACAGCTGGAATATCCTGCTGGTGGGTCTCTGCCATAAGTCTCTTCCCTTTCTTGTCTACCCTCCCACTCAACTGTCAATGTCTACCCATGTTGTGCCCCAAAATTCCCATAGGTCTCTATCACCTTTAGATTCAAATATGCAATTGTTTGGCATTCAAAGCCCTTCACAACCTGTCCCCATCCCACTTTACCTTTCACCACCACTGCCCACCACATACCCTTCGATGCAGTGGTGCTGGTCTCCTCTCTCTTCCTAGAACAGACCACTCCCTCTCCCAGCTCTAGGCATTTTCATTGGCTGATCCCCAAACCTGGACTGCTGTCCCTCCCCCTCCCCACCTGGCTCCCCTGGCTTCCTCCAAGTCCCAGCTAAAACCCCACCTTCTACAGGAAGTCTTCCCCAATCCCCCCTGACTTGATCCTTCTCTCCATTGATTATTTCCAGTTTATTCTGTCTATATCTTGTTTGGACATAGTTGTTTGGTTTTTTTTTTTCCGTATTGTCTCCCGCATTAGACTGAGCTCCCTGGGAGCAGAAGCTGTGTCCCCAGCACTTATCAAAGTGCCCAGCACATAATGTGTGTTTCCCACTGACTGACCAATGTGCTGGATAGAACACTGGCCTTGAAGTCAGAAGGACCTGTACTGACTGAATGACTCTGGGCAATCCTTTCCTCTCTGGGTCTGCTGCTAGACAACTCTCTAAGACTATAAATGACAGATGAGTTAATGATCTGATTCACAGCGAAAGACATTTCCACATGAAGTTCCCACCACATGAAATCAGAGGTCCACAATCAATAATAACAATAGTAACGCTAATAAAATAACAGCTTATCATTGCAAAGTGCTTTTCAGCCATTACCTCCTTTGTTCACAATCCAATTCCACGAATATTTATTCAAAGTGCCTACTGCACGCTAGACAATGTGTTTAAAAACTCAAATCCGTCCAAGCCGGGAAGCCTAGACTAGGATCATGGTGTCAGCCACAGAGGGAATCTCTAAGAGTCAAGGCTGGCAGAAAGAGGAGGCCTGTAGTATAGCCACAGAGAGACGGCTCAACAAGCAGTTAAAGGTATGTCCGTGCCTTATAGGAAGAAGCTGGAGATACTGGTGCCTGTTTTTCAGTGGGAGTGGGTGGGTGTGAAGGGCCCCTGTTATGTATCCCCAAGTAGGACTGTGCCTTCAAAATTTCCACGCCCTGGGACTCAGCCCTAGTTGCCCTACCCTAGTTCTGGTTCTGCTTCACCCATTCTATACCATGAGTGGCGGTCAGGTGGCGCTGGCAGGTTCCTCTCTCCTTAGCTTTGGTGG